GAGTTGGAAGGGACCTTGGAGGTCTTCTAGTTCAACCCCCTGCCTAGGCAAGAAACCCTATACCATTTCAAACAAATGGCTAGCCAACATCTTCTTAAAGACTTCCAGTGTTGGGGCATTCACAACTTCTGTTGTGAATCAGCTGTTCCACTGATTAATTGTTCTAACTGTCAGGAAATTTCTCCTCAATTCTAAGTTGCTTCTCTCCTTGATTAGTTTCCACACATTGCTTCTTGTTCTGCACTCAGGTGCCTTGGAGAATAGTTGGACTGCCTCTTCTTTGTGGCAACCCCTGATATTGGAACACTGCTATTATGTCTCCCCTAGTCCTTTTCATTAAACTAGAGATACCCAGTTCCTGCAACTGTTCTTCATATGTTTTAGTCTCCAGTCCCCTAATCATCTTTGTTGCTCTTCTGCACTCTTTCTAGAGACTCCACATCTTTTCTACATCTTGGTGACCAAAACTGAATACAGTATTCCAAGTGTGGCCTTATCAAGGCATTATAAAGTGGTATTTTGTTGTTGTTGTTGTTGTTGTTGTTGTTGTTGTTGTTGTTATACTTATTTATTTGACATTTATCTCATCGTGGGGCTACTACTTTAGGCTGTGGCTTCTATTCTCACAAATAAAACAAACTTCAGATTTGTTTCCCGCTGCCTCAGTACTGCAAAAATTGTTGCTAATTGATAAATTGATGCTAATAATTTTCCAGGGACTAAGATTTTATGTTAAGGAGGCTGACTTTTCATATCTTTTACACACTTAGATAACAGAGATGCATGGTAGCATATTTTTTACTGGGAATGTAAAATATTTAAACTGGATTCCTACTGCAAATAACCTTTACACTAAGTGTTCCATAAACAATTATGACATCCATAAAAAATCTTACAACAATATTCATTAGCACTAAAACTAAGGTTAAATTGGTGGTTAAACAAGATGGCAGATTGACAGATAGGCAACAGAATGAATATTATAAATATTTAAGAATAATTTTCATATCTCAGGATTGTGGGGCTTGCAGTTATCATATGGAGTAAATAATGCTCAAAATGCATCATCCTCATTATCCTCATCTCACACAGCTGGTGGGTTCCACATTCTTTCAGTGCTAATTATTTTAATACTGAACTTTATCACTTTTGCTACATGAAGTCCAGGCCTATGATTATTGCTATTTTTTATATAAAAGAGATTATTCCAATCAATAATCTTTACCATATTTTACTTCTAACAATTTCCTTATCCAGACAAAAAAGCAATATGCCGCTATATTATACCTTTGAATGTTCCATGAAATAACCAAAGAAAAATCAGGATTATCTGCCTTGAGCTCTTTTATCATATTTTTTCTGCTAGGAGGGCTGATGGTCCATAAAGAATTTGAACTGCCTTCTAGCTGAGCCACTGTTATATCTTCTATCGCATAGTTTTCTAGAAATTGTAAAGCACCCTTTAAAAAAAATAAAAGAAAGAAATTATCTCTATTTGTTGTCTGTAGAACTGTTCCATCAAAAGTTTCATTATTCAAAGAAGAGACAAGCGGTGGAAAAGATGTACAATCATGACTAGTCGATAAAGGAAAGCAAAAAGGGAGACAAGGCACATAGAATGGCAGAATGAACAAAAAACAGAAATGTTGTTATGCCAATTAACTAAATAGTCAGAGCACTTCAAAGCTCAATATTCCACATTCTGTGAGGGAAACCCACTATTAGAAAATCATGAAACCAGCTAACTGAGCCATTTTTTAAATTTTTCTCCTTTTCTCTCAAAAGCATGAGAACATCATAAATGTAACTGACTGTTGCAGAAAATGAGTGAAATATTTTTCAATTTATGAGAAGTTCAGCATTCCCATTTTACAACAGGGCAGCTGTTAGACAAAATTTAATTACTAAGTGATTTAAAATGGCCATTTCATTTGCCTTTGGATGTACTATTTGAAGCATGTGTGTCCACATATGTGCTAGTGCAAGTACAAAGCTTTTGTCCATGTTTGTCTCTACTTGTACACAGAAAGGTGCAGATGCTGGAATATAACACACATCCAAATACAGCTGAATATAAATTTAGTGATTCCTCCTTTACATGTTATTAAGCACTGAGATTAACTGGATTTACAGATGAATTCATGGATACGCTCAGAATGTCAGTACAAATGGAATATTAAATAAATAACATAATCCCAGTGATATTTTGAAGTATATTGAATGCTTCCACAATTGCTTGCCATTAGTAATGCTATTTTTATAGTACTATTAAAGAAATACTTACAGTATCCTTATTAAATGCTCTGAGGAGGTCTTTATATTGTCTATTTGTCATATTTTGTAGTTGACTTTGCTGGGCACTCATTGTAAAAATAGGCTGGAAAATAACATAAAAGTTGCTGTAGACACTATGGATGCCTTTCAGTAAATATACATCAATGCTTTCTTTTGCTGAAATTTAAGTCTATAATATATGTTAGCATAGGAAAGAAAATAACACATGACATTTTAACAGGTTGTACCTGGTAACCTCCTAAAGTTATTGTGATGGATACATCAAGAGGCCTATTTGTGACACCTGCAACAGATTTAATTAGAGACATGAAGAGCAGCGGGAACCACACTATGCATATCAGCAAGACAATAATCATGCCACCCATTCCATACTTCACAACTTTCTTTTTCTTCTGGCCCCTTGGTTGGGGATATCGCTGCAAAAAGAGATAAAAAAGCAAATAAGCAAATAAATGCATACGTATTTTTCTTTCCTTTCAAAAGAGATAAAACCCATTAATTTTTTAAACTACATCTTCCATGTATTTGGACTTTAATCTGTATTCATATATGATGTTCTTATTATATTAGGACATCATGGTTTCTTGTCAAACCACACTAAATAATTAGAATTATCCAAATGACTATAACTAAGACATGGCGGGCAAATAGTCCAGCATCTTGTAAAGGAGCAGTGAATTCAATAGTAAATGGCATTGTCTAAAACCACATGGTCTAATTTTTCCCCCCAATGAAACTTTAGAATAGCAAGTAGACATTGACAATGAAATCTGTATTCCCAGGTAGGCTGTAACTGATATCACATGCTAGAAATAGTAATGTATATTTCTTAATTCTCCATGCAAGATCTGCCACAACAGCAACACTGCAATTCAAGCAGCTCTTAGTGTCTGGGGTCAGCTAACAAAGAGAGCTCAGACTCATAAAGCTTATTTTGCAAAATGCTGTTTTGTAGAAACTGCCAGAGGAGTCCTATATCAGAATTCTTATAAAGGTTTTGTAATTCAGGGGCGCAACATATACATAACCTCTGAAATTTGATTGTATATGCGGTCTATCATCATCGTTAGCAGGGTTTGGAAGTGGATGAAAAAGCTTGTTTGAAATTTTGGAAAAGTAAATTAAACAAAGTATGAAAAATAATACTTTTTTCATATTATGGTGCTTAGAAAACTGTGAATTTAGAATAAATAGTTTGTCTAAACAACATTCCAATGAAAAGCATTATTTCATAGTAGCTATAGATTTCAGATCCATAGGAATGATTGTAGGAACTGAAAGATCTAATTCTTATTTTTCCTTCAAATAACTGATTGTAATTTTATTAATGGACAGTCACTGAGGAAAATTAAACTTCTGCACTTCAAGGTGCACTTTTAATGTATCTAACCTGTAGCACATAGCCTAGCAGCCTGGATGTCATCCTAACCCACACTTCTGCACTATATACTTCTTTCCTAATGGAAAAAAAATAAAATTGTTCATTTAAAAACCCCAACAGATTCTAAGTGTTACATAAAAGCCCTAGTAGTTTTAGCTCTGATCTTTATCCTGGTCTTCCATGGGAATGTCTCACTGACAAAGGTTCTAAAACACTTTTACTTGGTACCACAGTGGTGTATCCAGAAATTATTTCTGATAAAGTTATGAAGTTATATTGAATAGGCTTAATTTCAGTTATAAGCTCCTTTCTCATGGACTAAATAAAGCTGAAGTTTTCCTTGGACAATTACATATTTATTACATATTGATTGCACATAATAAATATTTTTGTATTCTATCAATTCTGCATTTTTAGAATTATTTTTTTCTATGCTCTTGAACCTGCATGTAGGAATATAGAAATACATTGAAACCAGTGACGTGCAGTCAGGGCCTCACCACAATCATCATGAAAAGAAAAAGAAATTAAAAGGAAAAAGGCTGAGGTAGTTGCTGCCAGAGTCACAGTGGATGTCTCTGCTTAGTGCTTCACTGTTTAAAAAAGCCTCTTAAAAAAGTGCCCTCTGCAGGAGGAGGCGAACCACGTGCCTCATTTAGTCTATCTTTATGATCACTTGAGCAGAGTTAAGCAAGGATTAAAAGGCGAAAAATT